GGAATATATTAGATGGTAGAGGATCAGCCTGAAAGACAGCAAACTGAGGTTCCAATTCCCTGTTTTGTTCCAGTCTGTTCCAGCACTGACAAACTGATTAACTCTTTTTGGCTCAGACTCCTGTCCATATTACAATATCACTTCTTCTTACAGCCTGTGCCTATCTTCCCTAATTTTATAGAAGCTCTCTGGGACTTCTACGCACCTGTATTTCACCCATCTTAGCTGGGTCCTGATCCTAACTTATGCTTGCCAGTGCAAATGCTTAACAGCAAGAAAGTCTTCACTTGTGCTGTCCACCTTTACATCTGTAGTCCATGACAAGCAAATAGCTATCAGTACAAACACTCTACAGTGAAGTACTTCATTCTGTACTAAGTGAACCGTACTCATTGCGCAGATGGCCACTTTGGTTCTTATAAAAATTATTTCAGAAAACTTCCAAAGGATTTTAAAACTTCTTAATATTCATTCAGAGAAACCTCAGCTCAATTCTAACCAGCAGTCAAGAAAGAAAAATTAAAAGGTTAGAAAATACCAGCAATGGAAAAGAACAAAATAGAAAACATCATTATACCATTATACAACGTATAAAATCATATGCCCCCCAACCCATACTTGGAACTGCAAGCAATTCTGGCACTCTGTCATTCAAAATAAGATGTAGCGTGGAAAAAGGTTCAGGGGAGGGTGACAAAGATGACCAGGTAAAGAATGGCACCTGAATAAAGAATTACTGAATACAGTAAGACCCTTCAGCCTAGAAGGCAGAAGACGTAAGAAAAAAGCAAACTGAGGAGGTGTATAAAGTTGTATTAGTATAAAGAAGGAGAACAGGTAGCGATTGCAAATTATTATTTTTTTCAAAAATTACTAAAGATGGCTTTTTTTTTGTTCTTATATATGACTTTGCTGTCTTCAGCACAAGGAGCACTCTTTATCGGTGGCCTAGGTCATAACAAGCAGAACACTGCAAGCATAGAGTCAGGACTTCACACACATTCAAGATAGTGCCCTGAAGCATCACAGTTAGCATGCAGTCCTCCTAAAACAAATATGAAGTTCAGTTCTACCATCAGATCTGTAAGCAACATGGGAACATTTGGTGACTGCACAGCATCTACAACATGCAAGCATATATAACAGTATTCTTCCATTACCTCTGTATGAGATCCTTTATTTCTGTGGTCCAGCAGCTGAATAAGTAGAATCCATAGTTCTTTAATGCAGGTACAGGGATAATGGTGACTAGTAAGAGCCTCAGAAGGTCGCACCTGAAAGAATACAGAATAAAATTCTTCAGAGAAGTGTTATTTTTGAAACTGCATTTTATATACCAGTATTTCCTCTTGTCTGAGCTGTTTAGTTTGAGGTTTTGGGGGGGGGTTGCAGGTAAATAATATAGTTACAAGTACACATTTAAAGGTGCGTTATTTCATTAACATCTAATATATCTCTATTATACAACAGTCTTTCCCAATTCTGCATAAGTTACAGGTTGTGATATTTCTTAGTCTCTTCTGATCCACTTTCAAACATCATTTAATTGAATAAAACCAGTATTCTAAGTCCTAAATGAAAAAGAATTACAATGAATACTGATTCACTGTTTGACAGAAAAGAAAAAATGATTGATTAGATTTTCTTGATGTTCTCAGGAAGAAAAATATTTGAAATGATTTAATAGCTATTGTTATTTTTAACTGAACAATCCTTAATGACTAGGCATAATGCTAGTAGAATATGTTTTTGTTGGCATGAGGATGTTAATGTTCCCACAACATTTCACAAAATCTGCTTTTCGGTAAATTTACTGCAAGGCATTCTTTTAATATGCAGAAAACAGCATACTTCAAGTCATGTACGTTATTTGATTACTATTCCATATTTAACAAAATTCACTCAGATTGATGCATTTCAAATGCAAAATAGTCTTCTTGTGATTCATCTTTCAATTTTACATTCGCTAAATTGTGAAACAAAGTAAGGAAAACAGCAAAAGGAAGTGCTAAATACGTTAAAAAAAAAATCTCTATATGCTTTAATGCTTTTAAGATCTACCAGAACAGTATTTGAAACAATCACAGCATAGACAAAACTTTACTTACTCTATCCTAGGACCTATGAATCCGTAGGGTTCTGAACCATATTCAGAGGTGGTAAAAATCATGAGAAAAACCTTTGCTTAAATAGTGAATAAAAATTCAGCACCTTTTACCTTCAGCAAGGACACAATGGCAGAAATGTAGAAAGAACCGAGGGGAGGCAAAGCAGCTCATACTCACTTTATCCCTAAACAATGAGTAGTTCAAGTTCAAATAACCAGCCTACACCCCTCTAAAACAAAGAGGGGAACAGGCACCTGGAGAGATTAATTCATCTCACTCATTGCAGCAGAAAGAACTGTTGCTATCCTTCCCTGACAATGAAAAGAGCCTCAGGTGACTAGTTTAGCCAACTAATTCTTAGGCATCTACATCTGATAAGATGGATCCTGAATTTTTATATCCTTGTGCCCTTCTTGATCCATTCATGCACAACTATTCTCAAATCACACTGGCACTTACAGTCATTTCTGAATTTGGAAACCTAATGGTATAAAATAAAAATTTTATCAAAATATGCAATGCTAGTGACAGCAGTAGCTCGGTGAAAGAGACTTTACAGAAGAGGGAGTGAATTGCTAAAAAACCACACTTTTGCAATGAGAACAAGTATATCACCATAGTTTCAAATCTCTGTAATATTCTATTAGGATGCAAATTTTTATTTATCATCTATCTTTAGAATAATATGTTTACAACTACTGTTTCATACAGCTCCAAATAAGGCTTAAATACTGAACACTTTATTATAAATATGAGTTATATGTACTTATAAATGTGACACATAATTTGTTTTTCTCTCTCTAAAGGATCCTGATTATCCTATGAAATTGTCAGGGTAGACCCTGACAATCAATTTAAGAGCATCATAAGGTCAAGACTGAAATATTTTAAATAATTCTTTATTCACATTCCACATATACTGTTCAGAGTACTTCAAATGCTTCTGTCTCTCCACATGCTTTTAGTTAAAGATCTGTTAGGGGAATCTCTCAACTGAACTAATTTTATGTCACTATTATCTTGAGAATAAACACCAATGTAACAACTAAAGTCTATTGTTTCATTATTTAAATACTAACTCCCCAAAACTGAAGTGACTCAAAAATAACTTACCACCAAAGAGCAAAACAGGTCCATCAGAAAGGAGCAGTCTACTTATTACAGATGTACTATAACACCGCAAGTTTTTATGAAAGTATTAGGTATAGAAACTATCTTACAAATGAGAGTTTCATGCTTTCTACATGGACTACCAGTTGTTGCAAGAACTAGGTTTCTTCATCGAAGTGCTTGAATCTACTACTGTGGTACCCTACAAGATTTCAGGATCTCTTCTGCAGGAGATGTTTAGGATATCCCATTCAGGATAGAGTTTGGCCAGTAGTATCAAAGCAAGACACCATGTGGATATTGGGTAGACTAAGGATAACCAAGATATTGTTTTCTTCAGAGATACTCCGGATTTCCTCTCTCAACATACTGAGTTCAGTGCCTTGGTAAGCATGTCTAAAACCTCAAATTGTGGTACTGTTGGGACAATAGAGCTCTGGCGTCAGAGATGTGGCTGCTGAGAATGAAAGATATGCAAGGATATATATTTCTTTGCCAAATGTGTCTCAGAGTACACTGGGCTCGGTACATGATCCAAACCAAGCATCTTGAAATCAGAACTGTCCAGGAAACAGATCTGATAATAGGCATCTGGAGGAATAGATTTTATGACTCTCCTTCCAAGGATACCCACAAATGTTAAAAGCTTCAGTCCTGAATGTTCTCAGCCAAAACCCTAACGACATGTTTTAGTGATGCTGGTGTCATCTACTCTGGGTACCAGTTTCATTTTCAACAATTTTGAGGGATGTTATTTCCATTACTGGACGGTAGCAATGACTGCATACTTTAGGAGCCACCAGCTGAAGAGATGTTATCCAGCTCAAGTGCAAGCTTCCCCATAGAAATGAGTCTCAAACAGAACTAGTTCAAGCTGTGCCCCAAGCCTAGGGAGAGCTGAAGAAAAAGCAGTGGTAAAATAATCTTCCCTCTTTGTAATGTGGCTCTGTGGAAGTACTGAATCTGTCATTTTATCATCTGACATTTCAAAGCCTACATTAAGCACAATGTTCAACAGATACTATTTGAATCTTTTTTTTAAAAAATTACTCATTTATTTGCCTTTTCACAGGGGAAGAGGTTGCAGTATTATCTGATAATTTTGTAGAACAAAACTGATTTTAAAAGGTAGCAGTCCTCTACAGGAAGGTAGTTTAAAAGAACAGTTCTCAAATGCTAATACAGCCATTCCCCCTCACCCTCAAAAGTAATATGAAAGGAAAGGGATTCCATTTCTCATATTTTTGTACTAGGAAAACAAAGTATACAGTGGTCACTGCTCAGAGTTCAGTCCTGCGTTCATGGATCGCACATGCCCATGGTTTCACAATGACACAAAGAAGATTACACAGCTCTTTTTCTGGCTGCTCTGTGGAGCTATTGTGACTTTCTAGCTTTGGAGTGCTCAAAAAAAGGGAGAAAAATACTGCAGCTATGGAAGGAAAGAAAAAGGAAAGAAGAGAAGGACAAGTTTTCCCTTGACAAGTGTAAAAGCACTGCAACAGAAAGATGAGGCTGTGGAAATAGGCACAGGTCAACAATAAACTGTAATATGACATTTTCTAAGTGTCCAGTTAGCTTACTGCCAGGATTAGTGTTATTCTCTTTTTGTTCCTGTTGAGAGAGTTTGAAAAGACTTTTTTTTTTTTTCCATCTATCTAAACCTTTTAGACTGTGCCACGTTTGGCATTAAACCTGGAACACTGAACTTAGGAAATGTGGCACTCACTTCTGCTCTGTACACAGTGCATTTCAATATTACTCTCTCATTCAACTGCCAGATGGTCATGAATAAATATAACACAATTTGAGCTCCTAACAAATAACACTCTTTAAAACATGGAGATACAAAGCCATACGTAACATTTAAAACTTAGCAATAAGAAGTCAACTATGTCTTGGTGCAATATCTAATTCATATGGTTCCCAATACAAGCACCTAGCTGCCCATGTGTTATATAAAGTAAAGGAGTTACCTTTGTATACTTGTTGATGGACAAGCTTATTAAATCAGATACGAGATTTCCACAATGTTTTTCAAATAAACTGATACTGGTTAAATTCTCTCCGGTTAGATTTATGAAACGGTTAGCATACACAGCTTGTCCTAAAACACAAAAGAAAATTAGACCTATTTAGTTCCAGGTTTCATTGTAGGAATACAAGACAGAGAGGACTCTTTTCCTTTTTTTATTTTTATATATATATATGTGTAAATATGTAAAAATTGACTTGTTGACCTGTATGTAATTTTAATTTACAAATTAATATGAGAAAGTTTATCCTTTCTCTAACTTCAAGCTAATCCCTTGATTATTGCACTGAAACCTGGTATTATTCAGGTTGACAGTAAAACAGTTTGGCACTTTACAGTCTTTTATTGGCACAGTTTTTGCAGTGGAATAAAGATTTATTTATCTTCAAGTTCCTCTTTGTCACATGCCAGTGCGCATGTTCTGGAATCATGACATGTTTTGCAGATATGCAAGTTGATGACAAACAATTCTGGAGAGGTCTAACACTTCCCTTTGGATGTGTTGATGTAAAAAGCTGGCATGATCATGTTCCAACTTGAGCATTTGTAGACATTAACACAGATAAAATGGTAAAGTTAAGAGGCTGTAAGATCTTATCCTGCAGGTTTTTCAACAATACAACTCCCTTGACACCAGTGGAGCAGATGATATGTAGAATGAGCCTGTATTTTATTCTTGGAAGTGCAAGGTGAAGCCCTGAACCCACTTCCTGCCATTGGTCTCAGCAGGGTAAAGTTTCTACTCAGCATACTTTACAGAATGAGATAAGAACCTACGAAATTCTAAAAGGCACACAAGAATATAAGACAATATAAGCAGAGACACTACTGTCTTGACTAGTAAATTTTATGGTTAAAAAGCAGAAGCTTTCTCTTACAAAAATAGGTTACTGAATTATTACTCAGAACATTATCTAGAAATAAATACTGAATTCTGAACAATAAATTGCCTCCAACACTTTTGTTATCCTTTCTCCAAAATATCCTAAAAAAGGAAAATAGGTTATCTTGCAACAGATCATAAAAGAAACTTAAAATTACAGAATAAACAGCCAACCCACACGCTATCCAGTAACACAGACATGCAAAACCAGAGACAATGTGTTAAGCCGAGCAAGGCTGCATTTTGACAGCACTCAGAGCTGGCAAAAGCTAATCCAAGAGCTGAGATTCAGTACCAGTTACTTGGGCTAAACACACAGTGCATTCTTTCTAGACCTCAATATTACTTCAACTGTTGCAATTCCTATATGGAAGTTGTATTGATAGTTTATTATAAGAGCAGGGTTGGGGAGAGGAAGGTTTGGTCATAGTGACACAGACTATAGAAGAAAATACATTTTGGTGATTTATTTTGGTAGAACGGACATGGAAAATAGACATAAACCTCAAAAAACCCAACAAAGTTCTCTTCTGTATTTTAACAATTCTTCAGCAAACTGAACTACTTTGAAGTTGGGTTTTTCAATTGCATTCTATGACCTTTTTTATCTAACTTATATGAGCAGCTTACTCTTATCAATTTACTTCTTGCCCTTTTGAAGCCTTTTTAAAAAAATTTAAAAAGATATTGCCTTGCCCTTTTCTTGCTGTACTTTTACAAGCTACTCTGATTGATGCTTCTTCTGTTGCCCGATATTTTCTTAATGCTGCACATGGTTAATAATACAAATTCTCTGCTCTGAGTATTCTTGTTCCAGTCCATCCCTGGACACTTTTCCATTGTTTTCATCAAATTGCCCTTCACTGCCATGAATTCTGGATATCTGCAAATACATTTTTATTTGTGATGTCAGAAAGTGTGTGGTCACCAAATATTGAGTATTTTATATCAACTGAGCACAAACTGTCATCTTGGTCAAGCTTTGACAGAACAAATTCCTAATACAATTTCACTTAATTTGAACCACATGAAGATCTACAAAGAATGTGCCTCTACCGTATTTAACTCCATTAAACACAGCTATGCTTAAAAAGTACCAAAAGTAGTACATGATTCTGAAGAAACAAGATGAGAAAACTAGGTAAGTCATATGTAAAGAATTAGTTCAAGGAAAAAAAAACTCTGCACACTTACTCATCATTTTTTCACCTAGTACATGAAGAATTTCCAGTATTAGCCAATTAATATCCAAGTGGAGATGCAGTAAATGCCATGATGGGGGAAAGACCTGTGATTAGAAATACACACATTTACTCACATTTAGCAGTTTTTTAGTGAATTCTGGATACTGTACTAAGACAGGGTGGTAAGGTTTTGGAACAAAGTGGCCAGGTTAGCAGCGGAATCACCATCCCCGGAAGTGTTCAAAAACATGTGGATGTGGCATTTGGGTTCATGGTTTAGTGGAGAACATGGAGGTGCTATAGTAACAGTTGGACTTGACTTTTCTAACCTTAATGAGTCTATGATCCTTAACGACTCTAAGATGGCCTGCAGTGAACATTATGGATATCTGTGACCAAATACAATGCAACATACAAACATGCCATTCAGGAAAAAAACAAACAAACAAAACAAACAAACAAACAAACATACAAAAACAAACAAACAAACCAAAACAAAAATTCCATGATAATTAATTCTATCTATACAGGATATTTATGAAGTCTTAATTCAAGCTTGAAAAATTACAACATCCTTAGTTATCCTTTTCTTTACAGAAAAGTATTAGGTAGCACACAAGCTGCTAAAATGAGCTTTTAAAATAATTCCAAAATTTCAATGTTCTCTTCCTTAAAGTTTACTTGAAATTACTGTTTCTTTCATCAGCTCAATAGTGGCCCTACTGACTAGCTAAACAAACAAAGATTCAAAATACTGCTTCTCAGTGGATCATTCCTTTCCAGATAGTAGTTTATACAACCCAAGATTGAAATTCCTTTTTTCCTTCCTAAAAGATCTGAAAGCATTAGCTTTCATATATATGCACAAATCCTGATGGTGTATACTTCACTAGTGTTTAATGCTGCAGTGCCTCCTTCCACATCTGCAGTTTACTTTATATACTTTTCTTATTCAGAGTTAGGTTTCAGAGTGTATTTTTAAAGAAATGCCCCTCCTACTGGGAAGCTCAGAAATTTTAAGCATCACTAGGGACAAACACCAAGGAAGTTTTAAAACGTGCTACACTAATTCAAGCCTACTTACCTACCTCTAATTGGTATTATCATTTGTATAGTGTAGGAAGAATTCTATAGAACATAAAAATACATAAATAAATAAAAACAACGACAGAAAAATCCAGAACTCATTAGTTGTGTATGCGAAATACAGGATGGCGATTAAGAGGGGGAAAAACAAAACAAAACAAAACAAAGATTAACTAATATTAAACCAAAACTTATGAAGTTGAATACATAATGTTACATAGGAAGATTGAAATTATAGAAGACATCAACCTTTGCCTGATGTTGAATAGTAAACGCTGCCAGGACATTACTAGGGAGTTCACAAAGGTGACCAATGTGCATAGTCAAAGCATGAAGCTCTTCCACCAATACTGACGGTAACTGCGCTTCTAGCTCTTCATATGGATGCAGCATTCCATCGTTTTCCACTTTAGGGGGTTCCAGATACCTCAATATACATAAAAATACACACAATCAGAATACAAGTAAGAAGCAGCTACACAAAGCTTGGTACCTAAGTTAGTAAACTGTGTGCAAATCTCACCTGAAGATGAAAACTTTCACATAATGCAAAAACTCAATACACTGATGCCTGATGCTCTCTGCTTCAGAATGCAAGTTTGCAGCCTGACCTGAAGTCAAAGAGATCAATAGGTTAAAGCAGATGTGGCCAACCCATGGCTTGTCTAACATTTGCATTCTCCATAGTAATTATACCAGACCACTTGAAAGCCACTCTCTTTTCTGAGGACAACTTCTGAGGTGGCTGGTGGCAAACATCCACTTCTAAATGTCATCTTACCAGAGGATTCATTCTTTATCTTACCATCAGAGGCACATATCCAGGTACAGAGAGAAAAGGTGGCCCTCAGGAAAGATGGCAGATGCAAGCACTCAGTTCTAGAAAAAATTAATTCAGGTCTACTGCTCTACTCCCTGACTGCTTCCAAGACACCTTCAGTGAAGATGTATAAAATAATTTATCAGCACCTTTTTCTCTTGGGGGACTTAAACAGGTGGATTTATTTGGAAATATGCTTTGTAGCTTCTCTTCCTAGGAAACATCACGTTGCACAGTGCCTTCAGAGTCAAGAGCCATCCATTCACAATCCTGCCTTTCACTTGCAGCTCTGTATATTTTCAGTCAATTTTTGCAGCTATGCGTTTCCTTTCCTGTGGTCTCTGAAGTTGTTGCTCTCATGGCATTACCACCCTCACCTTGCACCTGCAAGCTCGAACACTGCCATTACAGCAGAGTCAGGGAATGTTCAGGTTAGATAGGAAAAGGCTCTTCACCCAGAGACTGGCTGGACACTGGAACAGGCTCCCCACAGAAGTGGTCACAGCCCTAAGCCTGACAGAGTTCAAGAAGTGTTTGGATGATACTCTCAGGCACATGGTGCAACTCCTGGAACTGGTCCTGGGCAAGGCTAAGGGTTGGACTTGATCCTTATGGGTCCCTTCCAACTCAGCATATTCTTTGATTCTGTTATTCACTAGAAGCCATTGCCAGTGGTGTGAGAATCACTCCTTATTTATTCCCACACCTTGCCTTGTAGCTTTCAGCTTTTAGTAGAGAAAGATGAAACTTAGTGCATAACAAAGCAAATATAGTAATTTAAATACCAAATAACTACTGCCCAAATAATATATATCTATACACACAAAAGCTTAGGAGCCTGCAACACATATACCTAATTATGCAAATGCCAATTATTACGAGCTTATTAAATGCAAGCATCAAATCAGGAGTTTGAGCAGGGCCGCATGGAAGTGCATCTCACTAGAGGAGCTGTATGGCAAAAACTCTTGGTCACCGACTACACTGGACTGCACAGCCAGGGAAAAACAGTTATCTTTGATCCTTTCCCCACTTGACCACTGGGGAGTCTTCCCTTTCTTTGTCTTGCCCTCGCTCTCCCTTTTGTTTCCCCCCATACCCTCCAGATAAGCTGGAAGTTCACATATGTCGCTCGTTACAAACCCCACAAATAAAGCTTTGAGTATATAAGCCTGTCTCAACATCATCTGAGCAACTACACTCAGTGGGTGAAACATATCAACTGGTACAAGTACCACAGCATTTCAGTGTATAGTCTACCTACCACACAAGAAAGCCATAGCACCTGCCATGCTAATGAACCAGAGGTTCTAAAGGAATTATTTATAGATATTACAGCTGCTCTGTAGCTATAACAAATACTGTAACCAAAGTTCTCAGAAGTTCTGTTGAAGCAAAACTTTATATTGTAGTATTTCACTACACAATCTTTTGCATGCTATCATAAATCATTTAGCAGTGAAATAAGTGGAACAAAACAGGAACAGTAGAGTGTTCTTAAGAACAGAAGAGGCATTTTCAAAAAAAAAGAGAACAACACAGAGCACAAGAACTTTTGTATGGCTTCCACATTAAACAGTTCTCAGTACAAAGTCTTCAAAGCTCATTCAGGCTGATAGGAAACTAAATTAAATGTACGATATTGGTAACTATATAAACACACAGCACAACAAAGATTTACTGAGCTAAAACTCTTAACTGGGGTTTTAACCAGTGGCAATAGCACCTTTATCTAAGACATCAATAATACCCAATGTCACTGTGCCTGATCACTTAAAATATTTCAATCCTCATGACACCCTCCTGCTCATAGCCCACTTGTATAAGGGGGGAAGTGAGTCACAGCTGTGTGACTTGCTCTAATTCACAAAGAAAGCCTGGTACAAAGCACAAAATTCAAGTTTTTTCATTTTACTAGCTTTACTAGAACAGGACACAAAGTAGCAAACTGAGAAGATGCTTAAATTCAAGGGAAAAAAGAACTATAGAAGAGTTCTTTGGTGTCCAGCTACCATATAAAAGTTCAAATGTAATTTAAAACAGGCTACTTCCATATATGTATTAAACGTCAAGATAATTAGACTTTTAAGATACAATCAACAACAGCATATGAAAGAAGCTTGATAATATCACAAATTATTTAAACGGCAGAAAATTACAATATCAAAACAAAATAATGTGTAAAATTATTCACTCATACTCATAGAACACTAGCACTTTATCTACAATGAGAAGATACTACAGACATTTTATTTCTGAGTAATTACTGAACTTCTCAACTTGCTAAGTAATTCAGCCTTCAAACTTACAATAAGCCCAAGGCTGCAATAATCCTTCAGAAACATACTGCTTCTCATGCTTCAGTATTTAATTGAAACAAAGAGTGTTGTAGTGATCCCATTTTATCGATCCTGCTGCAAAGATAAATTAAGTTTGTAAATAATTCTAAACAAATTTAACTAGTTTAAATGTAAGCCAAGGGAACACTGAAAAAAAAACCAAAACCCAAACCACTACATTTGTAACTAAAATAGCTATTGGGATTTTTGATGCAACTTCTCATTTTTAATTAAACAAGGTAAAAGTTTTGCAAAATTCTACCTTAGGGGTGACACCTTAGCTCAAGTCACATTAATGCGACTTTCCCACAAAGGTCAGTAAGGATTGCCCTGTGATCTAACATACAGGCAGATCTGGTTCCAAATTGACTCCCAACACTTCCACTACCTATTTTGATACCACTGTATCTAACTTTGTTGCCCGTATTTCCACCCTTACTTCAGTTTTATGCTGATTATATGCTGTTCTGCAGCACACTCCAAAAGCTCTCGGTCAGGAGCCAAAGCACAAGTGCGACCTGTGAGAAGGTTGTGAAAGGTTGTCAGATACATATCCCAATGTCAAATTAAATGCGTAAAACTTACCAAAATCAGATGAACTCATTTGTACTAGGTTTTCCAGTCTGCATATCTGTTGCCTAATTAAAGGAATGCAAAGGTTTATATAGGTAAAAGTTGTTTAACTACACTTTAGTAAGATCTAAATAGAACAGAGAAAGGAGAGGTGTTTCTTGCTTTGTTGTTCTGAAAAAGCATCAGAAATATAAGTTAGGAAAGAGTGTTACTGGTAGGCAAAAGACACATCCAAGTGTGAGGGGATGACACTGATAGAATTTTTGCTTGTTTTTAAAACAGTGAAAACAGTAACAACCAAATACTACTAAAATTGGCTAAATATTGGGGGAGGGAAAAACCAACCATACACACCATAAAACCCTGAAAGCCATTCCCTGCAAGTGATCTTTCCACAAGCATAACAGCTTCACATTTGACCATGGAATAAATCTGAAAGTTAGCCCTCATGGCATACACTCAATATACACTAAATAAATTCACTTGTGAATGTGCTTCGGTAAATTCTGTCACCAGCTTTTCCCGCTTAGGGTGGTCAGCTGCTGAACTCCAGCACAAGAAGTAAAAAATACAGTAGAGTAAAAGGAGAAAGAGTCTCTAGAAAAGTTAAAGCTCAGTTCAGTTTTGGAGGGGAAAGAGAACATTTTTAAAGAAGCTAACTGCCACTGCGAATGAAAATTTTAAAAAAGTTGTAACATAGGTAAATACTTGGCCATATTCTGTAACAACTGTTATTTGCAAGTGGTCTTCAACTACGGTCTCCACAGAAATAATGCAGCACTAAACTGAATATATGAAAAGCATAACTGTGTCAGACAGACTTTTGAAAGAACATGTGGCATAAATTGAGGAGGGGGTTCTCTGCCGCATATCTTACACAGTCAAAGCAACAACTATTGAAGGATTCTAAAACAGGATACTTGGATCCAACACAGACCAAATATTCTTATGGAAAAAAACCTGAAAACTATGAAGCACCTAAAAGATCCAAAAATCCGAGTTGCAGTCTGCATATTAAAGGGCAAACACACGTTAAAATTATCTCCCTTAGCTCTTTCTTTGTTGGATAAAGTCACATCAGCTACCCAAGATTATCTTCAGCCATTTAAATGGGTTGTGGATCTTTTTGCTCTGTTTTGAAATCAAAGTTGAACTTCTGCTTGGATTTTTCAAGTATTTCAACCATGTAAAAAGAAGGAAGTCTGAAATAGGAAGATTTTATGAAACACAGCTGTTGAGATTGAAGGTTAGAGAAGGAAATTGACAAAAAGGAGACACACACACACAAATTAAAAAAAAAAAAAAAAAAAAAAAAAAAAAAAAAAAAAAAAAAAAAAAAAAAAAAAAAAAAAAAAAAAAAAAAAACAACAAACTCCTCAGTGATTTGACAAAAGACGAAATGCAGTGGGCTGATAAAATGAAAGCACAAACTGGGCATGAGAAGCATAACGTAAATACTATCATTTAAATAAATCATTTTAATTTCAATTTGCATTTGTACCTGAAAGATTGATCCTCATGGTTGTTAATCATTAAATAAGTGTCAGAATATTTATTTGCAAATCAAATTAAACTGGTACATCTCTTTATTAATCAAAGATATATTGTTTTAATATACTCACTTAAATGGTTACATAGCTCTCATTCACTTTGACTCACAATTCTATCACATGAAACCCCATAACTATTATTAGTACGTAATTACTGCTTTAACTTGCAGTTCTGCGATATACTATTATTATTTATTACAATATTAAAAACATTAAATTACAATCTTTAATATTATACTTAGACAAAAAAGACTAGGTTTCTGCAAGCATGTATTTAAACACAGATATTAACTGTACTTCATAAACTGAACTATTTACAGCCACCTTATCCTCAAGAACGACTGTAACTTGTACATAACACATACGGTTTCTACAGTGGAAAAAAAAAGAGTTATCCTACTTTCAGCTGTCAATTGGTCTATAAACGAAAGTGTTCCATTATATGACTAAACAAATGAACTGAGAGAATATCTTTCCAGAGGGACTTGTCACAGCAAAAGACAGCTTAGCAACCAAACTTTCAATAGCCAAGAGTCAGCTGAAATCCATTATTCCTACCAGTTCAGTAAGTTTTAAAACATGTACAGTTTGAATAACTTAAAAACTACAAACATTATGCCTTATGTTCATCTCTATTACAGTTACAGAGCAGTTTACATTAGAGAAAAAAAATTGGTTTAATTCAACAGACCAACTGCATTGCTGTGTCACTGCCCAGTGATTTTATGTTAATGAACAGTCAATAAATTAGACTAAATGCTGAAATTTTTAACTAAGTTAAAGTTAAATCTCCTTCATTATCAGTTTGTTTTCAGGTTGTAGGGGTTTTTTTATTTATTTACTTTAAATACAGTAAAGTCAGAGCTTGCATCAAACAAGTAAAACTAAATAATACTGGTTTTAATACACTTCCTGCCATCTATGCCATCATGTTTCAATAAGCCAGACCCTATTAATCATGTTTCACATCATGCCCTTGGTCATACCCTAAAGGGATGGAAGAAGCCACTACAATAAAAGCAATGATGGAATACATCACATATATTTGTGGAATCATACAAAAGCTTCTCTCCCATCCACTCTCTGTATGTGCTGTACATTCTGAGGATTATCAGTAGCAAAGAGGATTATCGGTGATCTGTGTATTTGCATTGACCAGATTAAGCATCTACATTGAATTAGTCAAACACTGAGTAACTGTATCTGAAGAGATTGCTGAAGCTATCCTAATCCAAACAATTGAAGAAAGTGCTGCATCCAGCATTTATAGTATTTGATTTTTAACCTCCACTTTCCCTTATGCACAAAAAAGGACTAAATATCTCCAGAAGACAACTTCAATTATATGGGTAGCACAGTCTCATTCAAGGAAATCTTACATAGTTTATTCATATATTCAGAAGCTCGAGCCTTCTAAATTAACCCCAACACTCTCTTATAATAACTATACTTACCAATTCTTTATCTAGTGATGGCTAAGATATGTATCGCACTACTTAGAAACTTATTATTAAGTCACATAATATTAAAAATCAGTGACACGATGTACTTCTTCCTGCAATCCCACCTGTGCTTATCCATCACTTACTGGAGCATTAAACAGACAGCATAATCTTTTTTAGATGCATTGCATAGCCCACAGTCTTTTATGTTATTACTATCAAAAAACCTGAAAAGTTTGTTACATCTTTAAGGTGGGTATAATTACAGAAACGGATTAATTATAAAATACAATGTTATCATACCTAAGTAATCCAAAGAGAAATTCACAGGATTCAACTAATGCCATTTCAGTAACCCATTGAAAGCCAAAAATTTCCACTACATCATCTTCATAGTTATTTGGAGAAGGATCTAGTCTCAGCAAAACCCTGTAAAATAGAGCCAACAATATTCATACATTCCTTAATAATAAATCTATGGAATACAATACCTACAGCTGGCTTATGTATCACTGATACTTTCTGAATATATCAGCAACATGTATCCTACATATGTCTCAAAAGACAGTTTACATTTTACAGCGATATGATACATAGTATATGTCAACTCCTAGCTTCAAGGGCATGAAAACAGGATATAGTCACAGGTCGCAACATATTTTGAAACAAATAAAAATTAACAAACTACCACCTTGAAGCATCTTCATCCGTACAGAGTGGCTGAGATATAACATGCATACATCTGTCCTTACAGGTGGGGCTGTACGTAAGATAACACACTCCACTCTTAAGTGTATGTCTGGAATTTGTCTCAGTGCACACTACATGCCTAATAACTAATGCTAGAACATACATTAGTTCCTTTATATACATTTAATAATATTTATACAGAAAACTTTGATAAAAACACACTTTTTGGTGAGTGAACAGATGAGGGTCAAAATGTGGCCTCATCATTACAACTTTATATTAACATTATAACACTAGGCCATAACCACAACACATCCTGATATTATTTAAAGAGTAGAAAATCAGACACCTATATTGTTAAAACATTACTAGTTGTGAAAAAGAAAAATATTTCATTAACATACTTTTAAAAAAAAGTCACAGCAAGCTGAGTAATAACAACATCAAAGCAAATGTCAGAATTTTCCCATGGCCCTTCATAAAATACTACCACAGAGATGAAGCTCAATTCACCAATATGCAAGAAATATTTCTATTTTAAAAATTAAAAAAAAATATATATAGTAGGCAAGCACTTAGTTTGTATTATATTACACACCAATTGTGTAATATAATACAAATTCTCACCGAACTATGCACTATTACCAATTTATTTCTTAGAAACAAAAACAGTCATCAGCACCAGCTAAATAATTGGCTTAATCTCCCATAACAGCTCTAGTTCACTTGGTAACTTCTTACTGGACTGTTTTGAAATCTTTAGCAATTAAATCCAGTTACTCCTGTTCTAAGAAATGAAGACAGAAGAGTCCCTCACATACAGGCTTTTCCAAGACTTTACAATCCAGGTAGACAATGTAAATACCTAAGAGGAGAACAATATTATCACAACTAGTGACTGGGAAACCTGCCTACATACAAGCTCCTGAGTGAGTTTTAATGACAGAAACTATTTCAGTGAAATGCTTCTTTGTCACTGTGGAACCTGGTACTGATACGTTCATGCAGACACAAGCTCCCTCAGCCCTCTACTTGACATCAATTTGAATGAATGCGCTACGATCCAACTAAAATATATCATAAATAAGGCAGGGAATAGGGAAGGTGCAGTGGAATAGCCTTCAAGGCTTTACAGAAAAGGCCGTGGAAGTGAAGGTTATAAACAAAATAACACAAAATATAAGGCTTGGCAGGAAGACAGACAGACAGAAAGATTAGGCTTCTGCAGGCAAAATGAGACAACCCTGTAGGACGAGCAAATGGCAAGAAAACTAAGATGAATCCTACACAGTAAAGCAGATAATAACTAAATCAAAGTAATGTTTTAAAATATCATGGAAAATACTTACTTGCCAAGCACGTGATTTCTGAACCTTAAATCCAGAATGCATGCAAAGGTAAAGCTTTGAAAAAGATGGTCTTAAAGCTACAAAGGATAGTGCCAGCAATCTGGGGCAGCTGGGCAGAACAGGTTTGTTTCTATCATGTGGAAAAGAGAGAAAGGGCCAACATTTAATAAAGCATCTGACTGGGAAATGCAGTGCTGAAGCCACTTCTCAGGACCAAAAGAGCTGAAGAACAAACTGATCTGTAAACTTGTCAGAATTCAGAGGCACCAAACATGAGTGGAGAGAACATCTTAAAGGATTCTTATATTTGTAATTCAAAAAAATCTCATACCTCTTAAGAGACCCATTTGCTAAATAAGACTCTGTAGAGAAGCTTTTCCCTCCATTTTGGTTGTCAAAAGCACAAGAAAAACAAGGTGGCTTCTCCTTCTCCACTTCCATTGCCATCTCCAAGCTCTCAGTGAGAAATAGGGGTGTGCACGAAGCCTCAAAGTCATCCTCCATTGTTTCCACCTGACCCAGAAAATAAATAGATAAATGTAAAAATACCCATAGTGTTTCTTCAGAGAAATTTCTCATTGTTACAACTCTGTGCAATCCTTCAGCTCAAGTGAGGATATAAATCCGACTAATTGTAACATCAAACTAAAAGCTGAGAGATAGCACCAAAAAAGGCAATCATGGTCTCACGCCCTGCCTAAAAATTCTGCTGCTTTGTGCAACTTCATCTTCCTCCATCACACCCTGTTAAAGAACTCACATCAGTAACTAAAAAAAAACCCTGAACAGATTCATTTCCTTCTGATTTATCTATCTAAATTAACTAGCCATGAGGTTAGACCAGCAGTAGGGTAAAATAGGAGGCAGGAATGCATTGCAAGGCATGGGTGAGCTACTTGCAGCAACACTTCATTTTATGACCAGGGTAGCTATGCTATAAAAATACATCATGCATTACAGGTTCCCGGTTCCCCATAACTTTAAGGCAACATAGAGCTTAAGCTCGTTCTAGGAAGTAGTAAATACATCATGGCTAGGCTTCGCGAACGAAGGTTTGAGAGGGGCTCTACCCACGCTTGCTACAAGCGCGCTGATGGCTAAAAAGGCCAATGCGAGATAGACAAGTCCGGTTGCAGAAGGTACAGCAGAAAGACTCCCCAGGTGATAAATACAACTCCGTGACAATTACAGAACCTGAAATGCTTGAGTTTTAAAGCTCAGAAAGTTACTGTACCACTGATTCTCACACAGTTAGAAGTTCTTATTAAAAAAAAGTCTTATTACCCAGGAATCTGAAAGAAAGAGGAACAAAAACAAAGAAGAATTATCATATCCAAGAGAAGTTCACTGTGTAGTTAGCATAAGTGTATTCATATTTTATACAACATATTAAAAGAGCAGAACCAGGCAACAAGTGCCACAGAGTTCCACAAAAACATGCAAATAATATAACTAAAACTCTATATTTTAAAGTTTTCAATTTCATTAATGGCAGATTTTGTTACAGTTCTTGCAAAAACCAGTTTACACCACGGCTAGAGGTGGGTAGTCTGTTCTACTTTCTTCCATCCATTCATACTCCTGCAGAGCAGCAAGAATGGAAAGAACGACTTCAGTGCTTCAGTTTAAAGCAGGTCCCTAAGCACAGGTGTTGTCACAGCAGGCGAGGCAGCTGAAGGGAATGCCCTCAACCACATGAGTTTCTCAGGAAAGCGTGTTCAACCTGGGGTATCAAAACCGCCCCAAACGACAGGAAACACTGGGAGGAAAGGTACAAAAAGGGCAGCTCCTCCCGGCCGCAACTCCCATCAGCTCTGCACTTGGCTATCACACCCCTGATCCGGCGGAACCAAATGACTTTTAAGCACCGCAACTTTCTTGGCCACCCACGCAGGAAAAAAACTTCCCGGGAGGCTGCAGCGCGCAGGGCAGGAGCCGCAAACAGGCGGGGGAGCCGTCAAGAGGAGCACCCCAGCCGCCAAGGGGTGCCGCCGCCGGGCAGCCCTGACCCCGGGCAGCGGCCACGAACACGACCCCCACGAACACACCCCCTCACGGGGGGCGGGGGTGCCAGAGCGGCGGGGCGGCCGTACCTGCGCTGCGGGGCCGCCGAGCCCCGGCCGGGCCCCTTCCGCGCCCGTCCGTCCGTCCGTCCGTCCCGCGCGCCACCGTCACGCCGCCACTGCGCATGCGCCGCCGCGCCGATTGGCCGCTCGTGCCGCTCCTGCTGCTCCTCCTCCTGCTGTTCCTCCCGCGCGGCGAGGGAGCGCCCGCCCGCTCCCTTCCTCTACGCCGCCCGCCCGGCTCCTCCCACCCCGGGGCGCGGGCCCTTCCTCCCAGTGTTACCGCGTCGCCTGGGTTTCCCTGTTCCCCTGGCCGTCCCTCGGGGCCGGCCAACCACCACGAGTGGCGTGTCTGGCCACCCCTCACCTGAGCACCACCACCTTGCCACTGCTGCTTAGTGCCCGCATCAGACGTAGCTTCCTTTGTACTCGCAGAGCCGTGGAATCAGAAGGGTTTGAGTTGGAAGGGACCTTAAAGATGATCTGATTCCAGCACCCCTGCCATGGGCAGGGACATCTTCTCCTAGACCATATTGCTCAGGGCTCCATTCAGCCTGGCCCTGGACGTCTCCAGGGATGGGGCATCCACAACTTCCTTAGGCAACCTGTTCCAGTGCCTCACCACCCTTACAGTAAAAAATTTTTCCTAATATCTAATTTAAACTTACTCTCCATTTGAACCCATTCCTCAGCCTGTCACTACATCCTCTTGTAGTCTTGCCTCATCTTTCCTGTGCCCCAACTTCCCTTGTGCCCCAACTATCCAAGACCTTTCTCTGGTTTCTTTTTTGTCCATCCTTTACATGACCTCATTTTCCTTCTTCTCTTAGGCCTTCTCTGTTCACTCATCCCAATACTCCCTCACAGAGATAGCCAAAAGGTCCCTCTGGTCTTTTCTGATGCCCTATAGACCCAAATCCAAATTACTGCCAGGTAATGCTTGACATCTCCAAACACAAGCAATTCTGATCAAGTGCTATTTAGTGCATTTGAAATTCAAGCTGGGTAGCACTCCTATCATTTACTGAAGCACCTTCATTGGGTATGACAGTGACCACAGATTAGGGTGACTGAATAGGTCTAGGGTGCCTGTGCCTAGCATAACTTAGCTCAAAATGCATACTATGCACTCGGTGGCTTCTGGACTTTTTAAAAAATATTGTTTTGTTTTGGATTGCTGTGGTTTGATTTCATTTCAAAATGAGTGCTTTTCCACTTTTGCCTAGTTTTGGGTGCAAATTAGCAGTAGTGCATGGAACTTGCTTCTAGTAAGAAAGTTGCTATAAAAAGTTTTGTTGTTGCTGCTACATCTTGCTGTGAAAACTCTGGTATGATTCAAAATGCTTCGTTTGCTCCTGCGTCTGTAAGAATCTCTCATTTCCTTCTTTAAATTCCTGTCTAATTAAGAAAACAGTACATCATGGTTAAATAAAACTGTACCCAGGATAACCCTGATTTCCATATGCAGATTTATCTGCACTGACAGCCCCCTCTCCCTCTCTTAGTCTTTCTGTTTCCTCTCTCTCCCTCTCTCTCCCTCTTTCTCTTCCCCTCTCTTTCTCTCACTGTCTTTTTGTCTCTCTTTATGTCTATTGCATTATGCCTGAATAATTTTCAGTCTTTTTTTTTCCTCCCCTCTTGCACGCACATGCTAAAATAACTAGACAAAGATGCAAGGTGGTTGCTGCAGTCTCTGTCTCTAGGACAGAACCAGGAAAGCTTGTGATTGCAATGCCACCTTTCCTTTTTTTTTTCTTTTCTTTTTTTTTTTTTCTTCCTCAGCCGTGCTCGGTGATTAAACTTCCTCAGGATGGGGAAGAAAAAGGAGCTGGAAATGAAATAGGGTTGAGGAAAAAATCCCATTGCAGCAGCTGCAGCCAGTGGTGTCTGCTGCCAGATGTGCGAAGGTTCCTGGGGTCCTTGTCACTAAAAGGCGGTATTCAAATATTTGGAGACAAAAGCTGCATCCTCAGTGATCATTTTCTTTATTTAACATGGCAGCAGGCATCGTGTGGGAAAAAATCAACACGCTGGATGTTGAATTGGACTTTTCTCCTTTCTGGGATGAAAGGATGTTATCTATCCCGTGCCAAGAGGGAACTGAGGTAAGAGAGCTGATCCAGCTCCTGTTTTTTCATAGTATATTTCCTAAGCATCTTCTCTGAAACAACCTATATGTGTGTGTATGTGTGTATATATATGTTTGTATATTTGTATATTCGGTTTCAAGGCAGTTAGTGGTAATGATTTTTTTTTCTGTCTTCACATCAACCCAGAGAAACTTAATTCACAATATATATTCAGAGCCTGCTCAGAAGGGTCATTTTGTGGTGTTTTTTTCTGAATACGTTTTTGTTTCCAGAGAAGACTTCAGCAGTGACATCATGGTTGACTGCTGACATTAAAACCGATTTTAAAAGTCTTTGGGAAAAAAAAAAAAAAAAAAGCCAGTAACTTCGTGATAAGAAATTGTGCAGGAGATTCATGTGCTCTATTTTTCAGTTGCACTCGAAATATCGGAAGTCTTATTAAAGCGATAGTGAGAATTTTTTTTATTATTATTATTTCTAGCACAGAAGCGATGAATGCTGCATAATTAAGTACAGTATTTAATTTGGCTGTTGTGAAGCAAAAGAATAAGGTAATAATTTTTATTGTACTAATCAGACTCAAGATGTTCTCTGTGTTAATTGGGTTAAAAAAATTGCAGTACTTATTAGAAATTCTAATTTCACAGTGCAGCACTGACAATAAGCTCAGCCAGTGAATTATTCACATCTTTAATTTGCTCTCTTAATGACAGTGTTCTGTAATCAGAGTGCAGAGACTGCTTCCTATGCATTATGTATGATGTTCAGGACTTAAATGCAGGACATTATGAAGCCTCTCAGTGGCTCAGTAATTAGTTTTCCACAAGACAGGGTTTAGATATTCACAGATAAAAGTCTACAGCTGAGATAATGTTAAGGTGGTGACTCATGCTAACAAAAGCAGGGAAGTTCAAATTTAATGCTGAAACTGCTCTCCATTCTCCCTCATTGTGCATAGGTGCAGGGGGAGGGGAAGAAAGTCTTCAAAACTAGCCCGCCATGGTGAGTACGCTGCGGACACTCCAAGGGGCAAACTGGGGGCTCATTTCACTTTGGGACCGTGGGTTTTTTGGCACCTTTACTGATTAAAGGGTGGAGATGGTGTTGCGTTTTGTGCCTCTTTGTAAAGCTTGTGAAAAGGGCAATGTGTACACATCATCAGAGAGCAATCATGTATAGGTGAGATGTATTTTAAAGGATTTTATTTGAAGCACAGATGTTTGTAACTTTATCAAATTACCATGTTTTGAATGGGAGCTACTTTGTTATCTGTAGAAACTTTGAGAACACCTAATACTCGCTATATTGCTGTTGTATGTCTTTATGCATTTTGAAAACATTTTTTTCATAATAGTTTAGTTCTCATTATCCAAAAAGTGAATCATGATGCAGGTTTGTTCTACTTTCCTTGGATCATTTACCTGGTGTTAAGTGATTTAAATGTATGGAATATGCATGGCTATGTAACTTTCCTACTTCTATATGCTGCTTAGTATAGAATAAAAAGCAAGAATATTGAAGTTGGAAAAGATTAATTTTTCCATACTTAGTTGTTAATCAAACTGGCAGCTGTACATTTTTTCTGTGTTCTTACATTAGAGCAATCATACACTTTTAAAAATAACTGACTAGAGAAGGTTCTTTACTTACTTTGTGTTAACTCTCCAAAGACTTATGCCTTTTTTACAGGATTTTGATTAACAATGTTGATCTGCTAATAAAAAATTTTAGGCTTAAATTAAAAAAAAAAAAACAACCACACACACACAAAAAAAAAAAAAAAAAACACCAAAAAAACCCCACCAAAAAACCCCAAAACAAAACAACCAAAACAAACAAACAAAAAAGACAAAAAACCCCCCACAACTGAAACTAATGATCCCAACTTAATAATAAGGTAGAGATATGGGATCAAGAATTTGGAGTACATCTAGATTTTTAAAGCAAAGTATTGTAAAGCTAATTCCTTTAAAAATTTTCACCAGAGTCTACATGTGGATTTTGGTGTTATTAGCAGCTCTTGCCAGTGTTGTCTGGCCTTAAGGCCATGGGACAAGTTACTAAGTAATTCCTCTTAGCAAGCAAAAAGCTATATCCCATGGATGGCTTAGACATTTGTTATGTATAGTCCAGCCCTGAAAGTAGCTATCATTAAACTATCGAATAAAGAAGCTGTGTATTGGATCACTGTAGCTAAGTGATCCATAGATTGTGTAAGAATCCAAGTGGTCTTGTACATGAAAAAATTGATTGGGTCTTTTCCAGAATACGACTTTTCTTCCAAGTCAAAATCCCACAGCAAGTGATACTGTAATGTGGTATCACTCACTACACAGCTACATTTCTTTGGTCACTTCAGCATAGAATCCTACAGTCAAAAATTATTCCAAAATGGTGTCATACCCACTCCCTCACTCTTCCCTCTAAGCCAAGATGAATAGAAGCTGCCTTTTTAAATGAGTGCTTGCCTGTCTGACTAAAGATTTGTTATGATTACTTACCTAAGTTATCTATTCCAGCATTTCATTAGTCTTCCCATTACTTTTTTGTGCTTTCTGTTCTTAAACTTAACTTGCTACAAGTAAATTACTTGAACCTATTAGCTTTTGCTAGTTAGTTAGAGGTTACAGGGATTTTATTTTCCTCTTTGCACCACACTTGTACATATTTGAGATTCTTAGTAATGTTTTCACTGTGTTCTTCTCATAAACAACCCCAGTTTGTTATTTTCTGCTTTATAGAAAAAAAAATTTTCTTGTACTTCATTAATTCTTGTTGCTGTCTCCTGGCCTTTCATTATTTCTACTTTCTTGAAATGCAGTGCTCTGGACTTGGGAGTGATATTCCAACTGCCATATAAGTTCTATATTTTCACTTAATGAAAGGTGATTTGTCACTTTGTTAGAAAATCTTGTTTCCTTAGGAAAATCTTAAAAATATGACTTGCACATTGTGGGTGCAATGACATCTGTTAACCCAGGATACATTCTAGTACAATTTGAAAAGATGCAACATGTGTTTGAATAGGTTTTTAATTAAAAGGTTTATGCTCCTAGCAGGAGTCTTCATGGATATTGTTTCCAATAGCCTTATCTCTCATAGTAAGTACCTATGACTAACCTGATTAATGGCTGGATGTGAGCCATCATACTGTGCAGCAGTATGTTTTAGATTACAAAATAAATTTTAGAAAATTAGCCCATTCTAACTAGCCTAGAAGATTGACTCTGCTTCTGATCTATGGATCTAGGAAAGAGCCAGTTGGTGTCAACCCAATCTGTTAAAGTAAAGGTCCATTAGTTTTTAGTTCTGAGAAAAAAAGGGCCCAATATCTTTCCTGGGTCGGAGGAAGACAGTTCATACCATCCTTGAGTTGTCATGGCATGGGAGGAGAACAACACTTCTGATGTCAAAATGGAAAAATCGTGTGTCTGAAGAGTTAAAGATGACTGGCAATGTTTCCAGGGGATCGGGTTTAATAAATGTGTTAAAAAAGACATAGTGGCTACCGAGGAAAATTTTAAGACCTTTGAGAGGTTAAAGAGACATCTATTTCATATATTTGGAATGTAACTCTTTTACTATTCTCTTACTGGCATGTAACTTCTCTAGTATAGGAATATTGCAAGCTTTTTTGAGTGCTCTGATTCATATGTCTTTATTTGTTCATACATGAAAAAGGCAGCAAAATAGTTTTAACTCAGTGAAATTTCTAGTGATATCTCTAATAAAAAGTTTAGAAAAATCCATCCATAGTATATTTCCAGCAGTTAGATTTTGTGCTTTTGTTTATATTGTTCCAGGCTCAAGTACCATTATAAATATTAGGTTCTGAAGTGGTATGTTAAGTATTTCCAAATGTATTCTCTTAATTTAGCCTAGTAATGCAATCCTTTCATATGCATAATTTCCATGAAAACCAGTGGGAACTACATTATAGAAGGAATAATAGATACATATGCTAAGATGTCTCCCCTTTGAGTCATTGTTTTAAATTGATTGAGAAGAAAGAAGTTAACCAAAAGAAACAGATATTGAGAGTGGAAAAAGAGTTATTGATAATACTTTTAATTCCAAATTTATCTGTTTCTCCACTGAAAGATATATGCCTGTGGAATGACAGTAGTTAGAATATCTGATCGAAATCTCAAAGGAATTTACATTCACTAATGCTTTCCAGGAAATATTTTGCAAGTTGATCATATGCATTCTAGTCAGTAGAATTCCATATAATTGACTCAATATTATGAATTCCAACATATGTATAAACCTATGTATATATTATGTAAAGTAGATGATAGTGATAACTATTCATATATAAACCAGTTTGGGCTTTTTTTGCAAAGTCAAGCTAGAAATAACATAATGTACTGTATGAGTTCACATACTCAATCTTCTATAAAATATTAAATCTGTAAAACTTTGCAGTTCTTATCCACATTCATAGTAGACCAGAAAAAATAGTAGTATGAATACTTATTACCTCACAAAAGCATCTCACTGCTTCCAAGTGGATTTTCTTCTGTCTCTTTATCTATGCATATATTCTGTACCAACTCTCATCCCAGGAACTCCTTCATATCCTCATTAAACTCCAGTTTTCATTGCTCACTTGTTAATTTTTCAGCCTTTTTTTTTTAAACTTTTCCCCATGCCTTTTTTAGAAGCTCAGGAGATTTTTACTATTCCCAAAGCATCCCTCCATAAAATTCCTTTGTTTTGTTTCTACGTGTGTTGACAACAGTTAGGCTATTATCCTTGAAATCTTCATATCACACTATCTTTTTTTCGTTGTTTTCTTGTAGTATCCCATTTCGTGTTTCCTGCAACGTTTAGATTGCAAGAGTATTGGTGAAAGCATTGTGGGGTTTTATTCTGTGCTTGTAGGGAGGGCAAAATAAAGGGCTCTATCTGATAGTAGTGATACAAAAAATGTGTGCAGTTAATAATTTTAACTGCCACCCATCTAATCCCTAGAAACACAGACTTTTAAAGTCTCAGCAACCTCTTTAAAATAGGATTCCATCTCAGTTCTGGAAAGTTGACAGGTTAGGCCAGTAGGAAACTGAGGAAGAAGGAGGCTGCATACAAGTGAAGCAGAACTTATCCTCAAAATATTTCTGTCCAGTGCCTTCTGTTTATTACCTTTGCTTCTCCCATGTAATACTTCATAAAAAAGACCATACGTCCAATAACAATTATTCTGAAAGCTTTTTGTCTCTCAGGTACATAAATTCTTTCTGTTGTGTGGTACACAGTAGCATTACAGACTCCGTAGGTCCAGATGAAGGATTGTATCAGTCCAGCTGTAGACTGAGGGATTTTTTTGCTAGAGGGAATAGCTTTAGCTGAGAGTGGTTGTGGTGCAGTAGAAAGATTCTGTAAAAAGGAGACATTATAAAGCTGTGGTGTGGGGGATTGAAAAAAAAAAAAGTTGTTAAAGTTATTACTGGCTCAAAACAACTCTATATGGGGGTGGAGGGGGCAAATCAGGTCCTGCCAATGTGGAACTGTGCTCTGCCTCCCCTCATATCCCACCTCCTTGAGAGCTTTTGGTGCAACTGTCACTGGCACCCTGAGAGGACTTCCCCACACCACACTCCCCGGAGCCCCTAACACATCCCCAGAGTTGTTGGCAGACCCAAAGCCCCACCTGGGCAAGGGTGGCCTCCTAATTGTTCACAGCCCTACAGTTCTTGGACTCTTAGCTGGATCTATGTTGAATCTAAGGCAGTAGCTATAATTCTGTATCCCTTCCTCTCTCTTCTTCCCTCTTTTTCCTTCTTCCTCTTCTCCAAATTTACGCTTCTTGATATTTGTGTAACTTAAGCCTGGATGGGTTAGAATTTGCTAAGTCAGTGCTTTGTGGAAATCCTTTATGTTGACTGAATGGCAAGGAGATCCATGAAGGGTTTCTGGACAAGTCAGGATGTAGTCATGTGACTGTAATGAACAGGACTCTCAGAGCTTATGCTTTTGAGTATAAGTGTGTACAGGCTTCA